CAGGCTGGGACAGTGCTGGAAATCCCTCGTCAGCCCCATGGCTGGAGGAGTTAGACACAACGCTGGGCTTGTGGCTGCTACAGGAGAGGACATATCCCTTTGTGTGTTTGCAGACCTTTCGCAGAGCTCCTCTCCCTCCCTGTCGGACCAACTGCAGATGGGCTGCGAGGATGAGGCCTTGGGAGCACTAAACGTGGAGTGCAGGGTCTGCGGAGACAAAGCCTCGGGCTTTCACTACGGCGTGCATGCCTGCGAGGGCTGCAAGGTAGGTACGCCCTGGGGAGGGCTGGGGTCTGCAATGCCAAGCAGAGACTAGACCCCAGGGAGCACGCCATCTCTGCAGACAAGCAGGTTTGCAGCAAAGCAGGGCTGCAAGATTGAGTGATTGTAAAAAAATCATTTGCCACTTGTCCAGACAGTGTGCAGAGTGGAGGCAGGCGCACAAATACTGTCTGGGGGAAGCAGCTGAGATGCATATGGCCCAGATCTTGCCCTGTCATGCTTTGTAAAGCAAATCCATCTATTCCCACGGGGACCCCAGCTTTGCTTTTGAAGATGCTTTCTGTGCTGCAGAGCAGCAGTGAGCTGTGTTTATTCCCCTGGGATCACTGGCCGAAGCTTGGATGTGCCTCTGAAATTCTTTCCCCCACAGCAGATGCCAGCGGGGCTGCGTTACCAGCCCAGGTCCTGCCAGACATTCCTGCAGGCTGGGGCCAGCCCACAGCTCGTCCCTCCATCCCTCTCTGCTGGCTGCCTGCAGTATCACACACAGGGCTCTCCGGCACCGGACCATGGGCTGCCCTCCACGGTTCCTCCTCTGCAGCCCCCCTCTCCCACCCCAGCACCTCTCCTTGAGATAGAGACTCTGCTTGTGTTGGAGATCCAGGGCTCCTCCTCTCCACCTGGCTGAACCCTCCATGAGGCTCCTGGGGATAATAAACCAGCCTGGTCCCAAACCACCGGTGCTAACCTGCTGCTCCTTTGTCCCCCTGCTCTGTGTCCCCCTCCGTGCCGCCTGCCTGCAGGGTTTCTTCCGCCGGACAATCCGCATGAAGCTGGAGTACGAGAAGTGTGAGAGGAGCTGCAAGATTCAGAAGAAGAACCGGAACAAGTGCCAGTACTGCCGCTTCCAGAAATGCCTCTCGCTGGGCATGTCACACAACGGTGAGTGTCCCCGCTGCCCACGTGCCTGGCGGCCGGCTGCC